ATTTTTAAGCTTCGATTAGATCCCAACACAGCAAGAAGATAAAGTATGATAAAAAGTTAAACTAGTAGAATAACTACAATATAAACCGAATCCTCCATCAACTCTTTCTGTTAAGAAAATCATAGTTTTCAATATTCACAATAAAACTAGAATGAGGAGTGGGCGTGTGATAGATACATAAACGACTTGGAATAAACATGATTCTTCAACATTTCACTACTAAAGAAAGAGAAACTTCCCTATCCGATGAAATCATAGTAATAAAAAATCTCAATTAAAATATCAAATATCCAAGAAAAAGAAAATACCAGCACAAAATCTTACTATAAATCAATGCTTGCAACTTAAGAAATAATAGAAGGCAAGTAGAAAGTATGTCCAAGAACACAAATGAAATCAGATTAAGACTTTAGAATATTGAACTAGGACTTACGACAACGGAAGAATGAAAGTATAGGAGAAATTTACATTGAGAATTATGAAAAAGTAATACCAGGCGGCACCGACTAATATATGCTCTGCCCGCATGCCCGTCTCCTCGTATTCTCCTATCTCGACGTTTGATGCGTTATCTAGGCATGCATTTTTTTTTCTGTTCGAATAACTTGAGTTTGCCGCTTCATTAATCATGTATCCTCTTCTCTTTACAACGCCGTTACGGAATGGACATAAAATGAGGCCCAATATAACAGTTTCCATAACATTAAGTCCAAATAAAATTCCGCCCCATAAAATTTGCTGCCCTGGGCTTGGGCCAACCCTGCTTTCATGAACATGATTTTAATACAAGTATTAATTAAAGTATTAAATATCTGTTAAAAAGTTTATATGTGAGTTATATGTTTATTGCCTAAAATACGTGTTAAAAATGTATTTGATGATATACTACGTGCGAACTAGATATGGTTCTATATGTGTTAAAATATATATATATATATATATATATATATATATATATATATATTATTACATGATAATAATAATAGAAGTATTTTTAAAGAGAATGATAAAAGTAGATTAATACCTAAATACTCTGTGTTAAATATATACACTAAATTACGATAGTGTTGTCTAAACAGAGTTGGTATTGGGAGTCTAGTAGATTGGTCGTTAATGAGATAAGACTTATTATAGATGCCTAGTTTAGTTAATGTAACATCCCAAAAATCAAGGTAAAAATTTTCATTTTTCCAAAACCAATCAAAACCATAAATGTTTACACAACATAGTTCCCAAAATGTCAAAATCACAAATCAGAGCATCCCAAAAACAAATTTCATAAAATTTGGACGATGTGCACGATCAAGCTTTTGCCTTGCCCTGATCATCAGAAGTACCTGAAACATAAAACTTAAACTGTAAGCCAAAGATTAGTGAGTTTCCCCAAATTACCACACACAACCAACAAATATACATATTGCATGTCGGGTCCACAACCTCCCGGTTGGATTGCCATACACATTTCATACTAGGTCCATAACCTCCCGGTTGGATTACCCCGACCCATAACCTCCCGGTTGGATTACCACTATGGCTCACAATCTCCCAATTGGATTGCCTCAAGTTTGCTAGCTTACAACACAAAGTAGTACAACCTCAACCCAACCACACTATGTCGACATATGGAACAGATAAACATATAACCAGCAAACAGATAATCATACTGATCTAATAGATCAATATAACATAGCAATATCCTATATACCAGGATACATAACCTAGTGGGTCGACATTAGTGCCTTCAACCCATAAGTATAGTGAGGAAAACTTACATCACAGTCTGAAAAGATAGCAGAAAAGAACACTGCTCCAAGAGTCAACTCTACAGATCACCTATACAACAAAAAGTGTCCTAAACTTAAACTACAACTCAAAATATCCAAAATTCCCCTTAGTCAAACTTAGTCAACCCTTGGTCAAAAGCCAAAGTCAGTAAGACAAGAAGTCAAAGAAAGTGAAAGTTGGCTTTAATTACATGAACCCATAACGCTTAATTATCATTAATAAACATCCATATATATTTACACAACAAAGCATAATTAAAATACTCCAAACTACCAATATCAAGACCACTATTACCCTTTGAAGCAAGAACCAACTTCTATTTAACCCATGGATTTTCAAGAATCATCGGTCCCTCCTTAAAAAAAAATAGATTTCAATAATTCAAGAACGTTCTTAACCTACCCTTGCATTCAAAAATGACATAAAATAAATCCGTCAAGAGTCCAACACCGAAGAAAAGCAACATAGAATGACCTTCATTGAAAATATATAGACTTTCCATATAGAATGCTTCCTTTGACACCTATCATCCAAAATGTTCCATTTTTTTAATATGTGCCATGTTAGAACAAATAAGAATTCCCAGATACACAAATTGAAGCTTCTTTAGAGTACACCTAGTCAAAATTGTAAATTGTTCAACTTCATCGAACCATATACCAATCCTATAGAGGTTATATTTATGAAGATTCAACCTTAATATGAAAACCAAATATAAATAGTTCAACATCCTCACTATGCTAGATATGTTCTCTTACGACTACTCACCTATAAAAAGAACACAATATGCATAGAAAAGATGTGAAAAAACATGCCTCCATCACCCATCATCACTCCACGATTGAGATTAACAACACCGACATTCTCTATGGCTACACGAAGTCCCTCTATAGCTATAATGAATAGAAAAGGAGAGAGTACCCCCTAACGTAATCCCCTTCCGAACCGAAACTCCTAAGTAGGACTTTTCATTTAATAAAACACAAGCCTTATCCAAAAATAAACATACATGTGTCCAAAAAAATCCACCTGTCCCCATAAACTATATAATTGCTCTAAGTATTCTCAACTTAAGGAATTATACGTCTTCTCAAAATCAAGTATTCCTAGTTGAGCGTTTTAACATACGTTACCGTTGGAATAATGTTCAACATCATAACTAATTGGTAAGACTTACATTAATAACATGGTCCTTTTAGGGCCGCCTCAGTGATCCAAATTATGAGAGAGATATATAAATAGTTTATTAATTGTTCATAAGATGATAAAATAATCATAAACTAGTTTAGAATTAATTCAAAGTGCAGGACTAAATGTTAACTATTCAATAGTTGAATAATAAAATGTTTTAGATCCGATAAGGCTAAGGATTTTCATCCAAGGCTATACAAGGAAGGAAGGTTTGAATTTTAGATAAAATAGATTATTTGATTATTATCTTTATTTAGTTTCCAATTCAAATCAACTTTCTTTTGAAGCAACTAGAAGCTATAAATACCCCTCCCTAGCACCTCATAAAATTGTCCAACTCTTCTCTAAGAGTTTCTCTTCTCTCTTGATTAACTCCTTAGTCGATATCTATTGTTCTAAGGATTAATCTTCTTACATCTAATAGTTTGGAATTGTTGGGTGTGAACCATTAACTCCTTAGTCGATATCTACTTTGGTTACTCTTCCTTGGCTTCGAGCATTTCGATTTCTACATCAAAGGTTCTTCAAGCAAATTGGTTTGCTAAAATTTAGTATTTCTTGACCCCTCTTGTAGTTATTCATATTATTAAGGTTAACGATCCTCGTAGGTTTTAGTTGTTTGCTTTCTTTAGATTAAATTACATGTCTTCCATTGCCAATTGATAATCTAGGTAATATATAGCGGTCACATGGTAACAAATTTGTCAAACTTAAATTATACGAGAGACATTGCATTTTTCATGGTTGTGCTTCACCGTTGAAGTATGTCGATCGACATACAGGGAGATAATTAATCAAGTTCCACATTTATGTGATTGGGAGTAGGGGTGAGCATTTGGACCGAACCGGACCGGACCGACGCTTGGACCAGACCGGTTATGGAGAATATTGTGGACCATGGACCGGACCGGATGAGTCGTGTCTGGGTCCGGGTTTTCCGGTTCTTGGACCCGTTTGGACCGGTACAACTTTAATTGCGTAGAGTACAAGTCGTTAAAATAAGTTTTTAGGTTTGATACGATACAACTTGTAAAAATGATTATGTTTCCGTTTTATGCATAACTAATCTACCTTGATGTTATAATATTATAAGTTGCAAAATTAATTTTCCAAATAAAATCAACTAACATATAAATCAAGTTCACCAAGATCCCTTTCATATGATTTATCTATCAACGATACATAAAATTCATAGTTATAGTATAAAATGATAGTTAAAAAGTAGAAATATTTCAGATTTGATAGATCAACTTTGAAGGATTGTAACTCACTGAATATAATACCAAAATCAACAAAATTATAGTCTAAATTTATCTACAAACTGTAAACTAAATGTTGGAAAAAACCTCAGGTCAATCCAACTTAAAACGAATGAGTTATGGTTGTTTAAAAATTTTCACAGATTACAAAATTTTAAAAAACTTGCTGAAAAGCTGAAAATTTTCAGCTTTGATAGCTCAACTTTGAAAGACTGTAACTCATTGAATATAATACCAAAATCAACAAAATTATAGTCTAAATTCATCTACAAACTGTAAATTAAACGTTGGAAAAAACCGCGTGTCAATCCGACTTAAAATGAATGAGTTATAGTTGTTTAAAAAATTTCACAGATTACAAAATTTTAAAAATGTTGCTGAAAAGCTGATTTTTTTTAGCTTTGATAGCTCAACTTTGAAAGTCTGTAACTATTGAATATATACCAAAATCAACAAAACTATAGTCTAAATTCATCTACAAACTGTAAGTTAACCGTTGGAAAAAACCGCATGTCAATCTGATTTAAAACGAATGAGTTATAGTTGTTTAAAAAATTTCACAGATTACAAATTTTTTTTTTAAATCGGGTCAAACCGGTTCTAAACCCGGTAAAAACCGGACCGGACCGGGAAAAAAACCGGACCTGACCGGGATGGATTCCTAGAACCGAGAACCGGCCTGGGGGTCCAAAAAACGGTCCGGTCCGGTTCACCGGTCCAAATGCTCACCCTAATTGGGAGATACCCAAAGATATGATAACACTTGTCGGTCTTAATTAATAGTTGATATGTCATGGCCAGGTGTCGTATAACACCCAATCTTATACAACAAAAACATCTAAATGCCCCTTTTAACTCCATTAGACAACAAAAGGAGAAAGGCCACTCCAACAAGTTGTCACTAATGACTAAACATTGTCTATAATAAGCACACTAATCAAGAAAATAAAGAAGATCGTTTTCAACATAGAAAAAACTAAATAGATAATTAGCATCATCATCATCATCATCAATAAGTCATAAGAGGTGACCCACTGCAATGGACATCAGAAGCATCAGAAACCCTTTGTCTAGGAGACAACGTGTTACTTGCTGCAAGATCAACCTCAAGATTAATAATGCTTTTCCTCTTTTGACTATCGAATTTCACCCTCGACTCTTCTTCTACACCTTCAGATATTGGTGTCAAAGAGACTCCTTGCTTCTCTTGGTTAAGAAGCATCGCTTGAGCTTCTTCCACTATCGATGGATCCTCTTCAGCAGCATACAAGATCCTCTGTATCGCATCAATAATCTGCAAATAATCCAAAGTAAGCAAAAAAGTTGCAAGCCATAAAAACGAACTTGAGTTTATTCAAGAGGCGAGAGAGACAAAGAGACAATACAGGCAAGTTTGCGATATTAGGAGATTGGCACAGGATTTCGATATCCCTCAGCTTTGCAAAGTAGAAATCTCTTTCTTTTTCAAGACTATCCATTGTTAGCTTTAACTCCGTGATCTGCATAATCAATAATTTAACTAATATGTGAGCCTGTAAGTGTTGGAGAATCTGGATTACTGTTTGTGTGAGTGTGAGTGTGAGTGTGACCATGGTACCTGTTGATCGTATACAGAGACGTTTGGAGTTGCAGAAGGTGGTTTAGAGGTCTTGACAGGTGGAGCTGCTGAGTGTGCAGAAGATGGATCGCCTCTTCGGGTGGAGTGATGCTTAGGTGCACCTGTGGAGCCTCTGGTTGGTTGTGTTGGTGCGGATTTCCTGCTTATATCTTTCCCACCTTTGCAGGATTCTCTTCTTTCAGCAGGATTGTAACTATAACATTAAATGGAAGCAGCTAATTAACAACTTCAACTAGTTATCCGATTTTGATTCGTATGTCGAATTGAAGAACTCGTATAACAGTTAATGGTAAGAACTTACTTGTGATGACCACCGCCGCTAACAGAATCACAGTATTTCTTCATCCATTGCATGAATTCAAGGTTATCCAGTGGTCTTCCTTTCACTAGCTTGCTCACCTCAATGTGCTGTAGCATAAAGTTAGTTAATAACAGCATTCCATATAAATACAATTACTAAATACTAAGCACAATTCGAGAATCATAAACAGGGAAAAACCTTTGTGATTTTCAATTTGTTGAAAACGTCTTGAAGAACCTTATAGTTCTGAATCATATCGTACTCTGTCTTGGCGTCGAAATTGACCTTGTGCATCGGTACGATTCCAGGATGTGCAGCATCCATTAGCTGACAGTGAACTGCGCCGGAGCACGCCTGCAACAATCAGATCCGTTCAAATCTCTAAGTTTAGTCGTTCTAGATACACAAAATTCACGATCTAAACAGAAATAGAGAAACTACCTCTAGGTTTTTATGCTCAACGATCGATGATAAACATTCCAAACCACAAATAACAATAATTCTACAAATTCATCTAGGTATAAATTTGGGGATACAACAAACCTCTTCGACTTTGGAGAGACTGAGTTGGAGACTGGAGTTAATCCAGGCTAAGATCTCCGTTCTACCGACGAAGTAAGCAGCATCCATCATTCCGATGTTAGTGGCCATCTTCGAAGTCTCTCTCTCTTTCTGACTGTTCTAGAGAGAGAAAGATGTGTGTGAAAGAGAGGGGAGAAAATTGACGCAGCAACGCTCCTGTAAAGAGAGATAACGGTGCGTTTGTTTGAAATTAGAGTTGAAGGCGGGATTTATACGACTTTATGTGATTCAAAAGCGGAGGAACCCCAACGGCTAGAAAAAACAGAAATCCAAAATTTGGCAGCCCAACTGGGCCAAAGCCCAGGGAAGCAATGGGTCTATTATTTTTTGGTCCTTAACTTTGATCTATTTGTTGAGTAATGTATCTGATTTATGGTATTTTTCTAGAATTCTCAACATTAGTTCTGAATATTTCTGATTTATGTTTTTTTTTCTAGAATTCTTAACATTAGTTTTCTGATCTCTGGAATTTTGTTAGCGTTGATTCACTTATATGTTTTGAACTGGTAATTCTCTAATATTCTTGAACATTACATCTGATTTATGTCATTATTCTAGAAATCTTAACATTATTATTTGTTTGGTTTAAATGGAAGTATGTAAGTGATAGAATAGGGTGAATTGCTTATTATGTTTTTAAGATACAACAAATTGATTGTCAAGTCTCTTATAATTGAAAAGCTGAAGGATTTTAAATTTTTAATGAACCTTTTGAACAATTATATACCCTGGAAAGAACCATGGTGGTTACTCATTTTTAGGTGTCATCTAAAAACTCGTTATTAACTTATTTAGGGGTTGTTTGGTAGCCTTTTAATTGACAAATTAAGAGTCAACCTCTTAATTATTCAGATTAGAGTGTTTGGTAGCCTATGAATTAAAGCCTCTTAAACTTTCAGAAGCCTCCTAAACTTTCAGATTTTAGCTTATATCTGAATAAAAAAGAAACGCACTCTTCCCTCTTTTGCCCTCAAACACATTCATCCATCCATCAAACACACACCGATTCTATGATTCATCGTCCCTTTGTTCTTTTCCTACATCTGAACAACTCCAGCGCCGATCATCTCCTCCCATCGCCGACCAAATCCGCCAACCTCTTCTCGTTGTTGAACTCGGACAGCATAGCCGCCCCCATCTTCGACCTCACACACACGAGTCTTCAACAACGCCATCGTCGCCAGTGATGGTATCCGCCCTCGACAGCGCCGACGATAGCCACTGAACCGCCTTGATGCATCGGGTTTGTTTATCTCTAATTTTCTAAAATCGATTTCTGTGAAATCTATTCTTCTAGTCTACACATGAAACCATTCCCCCCTAATTTGTTATTAGCTATGATACATGATTTTGAAGTCTGATCGGCTGCTAGGGTTGTTTGACCACTTTCAATTTTGCTGCACAGGAATGGAATTGAGGTGAAATTTTGTTTTTTTTGTTCTTTTTCTGAAATTTGATTTGGTGCAATCTCAAGAAATTCAGAAATATGTTGGATGTATCATTTAGCTGATGATTGTCTCCATAGACTACTAGTATAATTAGACATTTAAAATGAAGGTTATGGTGTTTCCCTGGAAAAGGTTGATACATTAGTTATTGAGGAGTTTTTTTTTTCAAAAAAATGATTAACAATTTGATGTGTTGTGCATGCAAAGAATCTTACATGTGACTGTTAGATGTGGAAGATGAATAGAAAAACCATACGAGAATTAACGTAATCGAGTCACTATAATTTTGCATATATATATTGTCAAGTTTTCCCCTGTTCCTTTTTTACTTGCCTTGTTCTTAACTTTTTTAAACAAATAATCATTTTTTCTACCTTCATACACCTACTACAGGTAGTTTTTCTAATCCCCTAAAAGTTTGCATTTATACTTTCTTATGTATTTAGGTTTTAGTGATTTTACATAAATATTGTTTATCTTTTGTAAATTTGTTATTTGTTTTAGTTAAAAAGGTTCAACAAAATAACGAGGGTATTTTGGGAAACAAGTGATTTTACATAAATATTGAAGACCTTGATGAAATCTGAAGACGTTGCTATATATTGAACATGTGGTAAATTTAAGTAAAGAAATTATGGTTTACACAAAAAGGGTATTTTGGGAAACAAGTGAAAATTGACAAGAGAAGAGAATATTTTTACTTTAGGTTATCATTATTTTGGAGCTTTTAATTGTTTTGGGTACAACAATTAAAAATTGGTTTGTCATTTGTGATATGAAATCTTGATTTTCTTGTATTATTGCAATTAGCTGCTTTGGGTATAATTAAGAAATGATAATGGTATGTTTGATTCAGATTTATGTCTAATCTTGATTTATGTTTAATTTGGATTTTATATGGTGTTTGTATATTTTTTTATAATTATTCAATAAATTGATTCAGTTATTTTATAATAAAAAATGTCAAATTCAGCAAAAAAAAAAAAAAAACACAGAAGGGTAAAATGATTATTTTTATAATTCAGCACTACAATTTAAAGGTTCCAACCAAACAATATTTGTACATTCAGATCTTAAAAATTCAGACCCTCTTAGAAATTCAGACCTCTTAAAAATTCAGCTTTTAAAAATCCAGATCCTGCCAAACAGCCCCTTAGTTCTTGAAAAATCAATAAGTTAAAAAGAATGTTTGGATACTTAATAAAGACTTTTAAAACTCCTTTTTGTTTAGCCTTTAAAAATGGGTTCTCAAAAAGTAACAAATTATTTTTGAAATAACTTATAACTTATTAGGATAAAAAACAAACAAAAAACATTTTTCAACAAGACACTTATTGATTTATTGACTTTTGCCGTAAAAAACCTATTCCAAACATTTTAAAAACTCTTTTTCCCACCTTCATAAATCAATAAGTCATTTTTTTTTAGCAAAAGTCATTTTCAGCTTCAAAATGAAATCCCAAGTCCCAACCACCCCTCCTCTTAGAGAACCATCTTGTAACTTTTAAGTTCATTATTTCTTTATGTAATTTCATCCTTATGGTAATTTAAGTGAGTTGACATTTACAAACATCTTAAGTAAAAATGATGTAATTAATGAATTATATTCTCTATTCTTGTATATATAATTTTATGTGGTGGAACTGTTATAAATAAAGGAAACAGATGAGACTCAAAAGAGATAGTAAATGGTGTGTCAAAAGAGATATTAATTGGTGTGTCGTGGGGTTAATTTATGTTCTATTTGAGAAACATCTAATGGAGCAAAATGCATATTTTAAACATCTTTTTGATCTTTTTGTATGATTATCTGTGGCCCATTATAAAACAATAATGAATACTATGATGTCTATATAACAACTATCCAATAGTCTGAGGGGTTAATATGTATTTTGTGTTTACCTTTTTACCCAAATTTAAAGCGATACGTTAGGGTTTAGACACAAAGCAGCACTCGTTTCCTTCAAGCTCCCGAAAATGGCAGACAACGGAGTGCTGCCGGTCGACAAGTTAACAATTTCCGAATTCGTCGAAGAAGCCGAGTTCTCACAGCGTGTACTGGTTCGATCGATTTTGGGCCGTCCTGACGGCGGCGCTGGACTTGCTGGGCAGACCTTAAAGGTAGGCGGATGGGTGAAGAAAGGGCGAGAACAAGGCAAAGGTTCATTTGCCTTCCTTGAACTTAACGATGGATCATGTCCGGCGAACCTTCAGCTTATAATATACTCCGATGTGGCGCCGCTAGGTCAGTTTACTCCGACCGGTACTAGCCTGCACGTGGAAGGTGTGCTTCAGATGCCTCCTGCAGATAAACAAGGGAAGCAGTCGATTGAACTAAAGGTTTCAAAGGTTCTAGATATTGGAGCTGCTGATCCCGCGAAGTATCCATTGCCCAAAACGCGATTGACACTTGAATTTCTTAGGGATTACGTTCATCTCCGGCCGAGAACCAATACTGTGAGTTTCTCATTTCGTTGATCTTAATTTCTAGATACTGCATATCCGATTTGCTTAGTTTCAAGCTTTATTTGAAGGTCCTTAAATGAATATATTCTGTTACTATTTCAGATTTCTGCTATTGCCCGTATTCGTAACGCACTAGCTTATGCAACTCACACGTTCTTCCAAAAGCATGGATTTCTCTATGTTCATACTCCAATCATCACCACTAGTGATTGTGAAGGCGCTGGAGAGATGTTTCAGGTCACAACTTTAATAAACGATTCAGAAAAACTTGAAAAGGAACTCCTTAAGAACCCCCCTCCATCCCAAGAAGATGTAGATGCAGCCAGGGCTGCTGTCAAGGAAAAAGGTGAAACAGTTGCCAAATTGAAGTCTGATAAAGCTGGTAGACCTGAAATAACAGCTGCAGTTGCTGAACTTACTAAAGCCAAAAGAGAATCTTTCAAAGATTGAAGAGAGATTCAACCAGAAACCTGGTATCCCAAAGAAAGATGGGAAGGTTGACTATAGTCAAGATTTCTTTGCACGCCAAGCCTTCTTAACTGTTTCTGGACAACTTCAAGTTGAGACCTTTGCTTGTGCACTCAGCAGTGTTTACACTTTTGGCCCAACTTTTCGTGCTGAACATTCTCATACATCCAGACATCTTGCAGAATTCTGGATGGTTGAACCAGAAATAGCATTTGCTGATATTGAGGTACAATGCTTATACAACGCAGAATGCACACACTTCTTTACTGAATCTCCAAGAAAATGGATTTGATTTGTTCATATTCCTACGTTTATGCAGGATGATATGAAGTGTGCAGAGGCATATGTTAGGTTTATGTGCCAATGGTTACTCGACAACTGTCTTGATGACATGGAATTTATAGCTGAAAAGTTTGACAAACACGCCATTAATCGTCTAAAAATGGTTGCTTCTACCAATTTTGTACGCCTTACCTACACAGAAGCAGTGACAATTCTTGAAGAAGCTGTTTCTAAAGGCCACAAATTTGAGAACAATGTAGAATGGGGAATTGATTTGGCATCAGAACATGAAAAGTAGTCTTTTTTGTTTCTTTCTATTTTCAACCCAACAATATGTAAATTCATCCTAATTTCAAGATTTTGCACTGTGTAGATACCTAACAGAGACAAAAATTTGAGTCACCTGTGATTGTATACAACTACCCAAAAGGGATCAAAGCATTTTACATGAAAGTTAACCCTGATAACAAAACAGTAGCTGCCATGGATGTTCTTGTCCCAAAGGTAATGTTCATTTGAGGAATGATACATCAAAACTTTAGACATTAATACCCTTTGTTTTCCAATAGGTTGGTGAACTAATTGGAGGAAGTCAAAGAGAAGAGAATTACGAGGTCATCAAAGAAAGGTATGATTTTTTTGTTTCAATAATTTGTTAATTGTGTATACGCTTATATATATATATATATATATATATATAATATATATATATATATATATATATATATATATATATATATATATAATGAAATTTGATTTGGTATGCAGGATTCTTGAAATGGGGCTTCCACTTGAGCCATATGAGTGGTACCTTGACTTGAGGCGCTATGGAACTGTGAAGCATAGTGGATTTGGGCTAGGGTTTGAGAGGATGATTTTGTTTGCAACTGGAATTGATAATATTAGGGATGTAATCCCATTTCCAAGGTTTCCAGGAAGAGCAGATCTTTGAGGTACCTCTAAAGATACATAAAACATATATCAAGATCATTCCTTTTGTTTTATATTTATTAGCAAGTAAGTTTTTCTTTTAAAAAAAAATTGTGAAACCGATTTGGGTACATTACTTTGTAAGATTTTGTTGCCACTTGCTGCTTTATTTTACTGTTGGTGATGTTATAGACTTTTTATTTATTATTTATTTCCCAACTGTGACAATTTAGGGATTCAACATTGCATGTATTGGTTGCCCTAGCCCCAATTTTGATCAGATTGTATATATACAAAATTAAATAGGTCAAAGATCAACTACAAAAACATTTCAGCATTAAAGATTTAGGTCCATGCAAGTGCTCTATGTGAGTAGAAGTTAGTCGATCCTTTGTAGCTTTTATAATCAGTTAAAGAAAATATGATATAAAATCAAAACCTTATAGAGTTTTTGATGGTGTGGTCACAATAAAGGTGTGCGAATTGACCTTAAGTTTTTTTATTTTTTTTTATTTTTTTATTTTATTTTTTTTTATTTTATTTTTATGGTGGGGTGATAATAACGATGCCTACAAGTATAGATAAAATTTGGCATTGGTACCGATTTTTTTTCCTGATTTCTTAGTTTTTTTTGTTGGCTATATGTTAGGCTCATTTTTAATACGAGTTTTAAATGATATATGATTATTTTCTCTATTTTTTTCGAAGCTATATGTTGAGTTTTTTTATATGTATTATTTGCTTATTTGGTGTTTTAACTTCATCTTAGAATAAAAAAACTTCTGTTTTTGTGTACCTAAGCCCGAGTTCTAAAGCTTCGAACATGGGTTGTTGTACACAAGGAAACATGGGCTTTGTAAGTTGTACTCTTCAAAATGGGTACTAGAATGAGATTGGTATTCAATTCGTACAAATTCCATATTTTGATTTTGGTCATTTCGGGTTTAGTAGTAGTTCAGTCTAATTCTCGTGCTAATCTCACCCCTATTGGCAGTTACAAACTACCTCCCATTCCCCTATTCTATACTTACGCGTTGTCCTCTTTAGGTGTTTTACACGAGTCGTTATTTTTGTACATGATAAATTTAATTTAATGTTTTTTAATCAATTAAATCATTATACATATTGGTTTGTATATAGATTTTTTTTCCCGAAACCTAGTAGACCAATGGAAAAAACATAATCAATTTGTTAAAATTGACATTTGAGGGTAACTAAATGTTGCGTTTGTTTTCATTTGATCCATTTTTTTTTGTATTCAATATACTATCAAAATTGTTGTTTGTGTTCACCATAACCCTTTTGACCGGCTATCATTTGTGATAGCTGGTCAAATGGTTATGATGACCACAAACAACAAGTTCGATGGTATATTGAGTACAAAAAAAAGAAAATTGATCAAACGAGAACAAACGCAATAGTTAGTTACCATCCAGAGTCATTTTCCCTTAAAATAACGAAGTGACAACTAAAAAGTAATTATAGTTAATAAAAAAAATTGTTTGATTCAAATAGGGGTTAAATGCATACAAATAAATATGTTTTAGATTATTTTTATTTTATACAATTTACTGTTTATGGATAATAACAACATACTTTAATTTCGTTTAGATTTTTTATTTTATATTTTTTTGAACAACGGATGTATTAACAACAAAACAAACTAGCAAGATGTTAGAGCAAGTTTAGGAGAAGATGTTAGAGCAAGTTTAGGAGGTACAAACAAAAGAAAAGTACATCAGTCAAACCAACTTACGCGCATATGCTTTATCCAACTGAACACACAATTGGATGTAATAAGTAATCCACCACTTTCAAAGGAGAATATATCTTATTAAAAACAAAAGCATTAGCCGGGTGACAATTGTTGACACGACACGACAAAAATACACGACACGAAACGAAATTAGGACGAAACTGAAATTCGAATTCGTGTTCGTGTCGTCTTCGTAAAAGACACGATGTCGTGTCGTGTCGTGTTCGTGTTCAAAATTCGACACGAAATTGACACGGTTTAGCATTTATTTGTCGTGTTTTTCGTGTTTGTCGTGTTTTTCGAGTTATGTATAATTAAATATTAATTAAATAAACAAATTATTATATTATGTTATCTTTGTCGTGTCGTGTCGTGTTTTTCATTTTTTAATTAGTTCGTTTTCGTGTTAGTTAAAAAAACACGACATCGTGTCGTGTCGTGTTCGTGTTACATAAAACCTTGTCGTGTCGTGTCGTGTCAGGCAAAAAGACGACACGATGGCCCGATTTGTCACCCCTAATTAGCCCTCTATTCAAATCCACCATATCCTACTGTGCCAATCAAAGCTAATGTTAACTTGTTTCTTTTCTTCCCACAAGACGATGTCTTCAACTCCATAAACAGATCCTCCCTATCACTTAGGGGGACAAAAAAAATGTTTCTCTAGGAACTAAACCAACGCCAAATCTGAACAGAATAAGCACACTTGAAAAAGACATGATCTACCTATTTCTCTACAGTATTGCAAATGGGACAAACGATAGAGGCTAAGGTAATACTACAGACCGCTAAACTGGCAGCAACCAGGGTTTTATTAAAGAGCACACGCCAAGAAAAACAATTTATTTTGATAGGCACCCAACTCACCCATTTGAAATTCCAAGCATCATCACCAATAATAAGCTTTTCAGCCACAAATCTCCTTAAAGATTGAACAGAGAACAACCCCATCACATTAATTCCCCGACACCACTTGTCCAAAACATGGGATAACTTAACATCAACCATAACTGAGTTCAGAATTGCAAGCTCGTCAGCTTCTTTTCATCTTCTCGACTGGCTCCTCCACATAACCACATCCCCTGAAAAAAAAAACAACATTATCACCATGAACACGCTAAAAAACCTTGCAATTTTTATTCGTGTCAATCTTGTAAAGCTCCGGGAATGAATCTTTAAGAATACAACCTCTCCATCCTTTGTCTTTCCGAAATGCATATAACTTTTAGCCCTAGTTTCCTTTCAAAAAGGCCATCAAGAGAAATCCCCGAACCTAAAAATCCCATTTGATTTGATAAATTGAGAACCAAATCCCCGAAATTCCACTTTTGGCCATCTGCTTACATTCTGTTATGTAGTGGATGGTAGATGCATATTCCTCAATCTCATTTGCAATTTCTTCATTACAACGTTTGTTTATCTCCCATGAAGCTTCAATTTCCTTTAAATAGTTAAAAATCTCCATTTTGAAAACTTCCCGATAGTCCTTCGAAAATTTAAAAGTAAAGCCGCCTAGCCATGATGCCCTCTCATTGCTACAACTCCAAACAACATTTTTAATCTCCTCCACAGAAAAGGGGCCTTCCAAACCATCTTTTTCTTCACTCGAAATCTTCTTCCATTCACTTAGTTTCAGTCTCACCATATTGCTCTCATTAAATTTAGAAGAGAGAAATTGCCAAACTTCATCCTTGATGTGATGCAGATCATTTCCCCACTCCCCCTCAATATTAAGACAATCCAAAGTCTTATTGACTTCAATTGAGATGGAATTTGCCGAAGAAGTGGGGCTTCTATTTCCCTAATGATTTTCTTTTGTTACTTTTATTGCAAATATAAAACACTTCGCATCTGGAAGCTCTTTTATATTTGGTATAATTAATGATGATACATATAATTGTATGTTTTTTAACCCGAATATAGTTTCCTTGAACTTTTTACTAAATACTACATCAAAATATTTCAAAATTTGAGTTTTGTGGTCATGGAATCATCAATAATGGTTGAGACTCGATTCACATTTTCTAAACGAGAGTTTATGTGGATTGGATTCAACTTCACTAAATATGAAGTGAATTTGCGATCATTGAATTAGATTTGAGAAATGACATCCAGTTTCAATTTATACAGCACAAGTTAAGCTAAAAGTTGTTTTGTAACGCCCCGATTCTCAGGTATTGTTTAAATAAGAGTTTAATTGGTTTCAAGGCCTACTCAACGAGTTGGTTGCCCTACTCGTTGAGTAGCCACGGGTTTGATACGCGTGTTTAGTGACCTACTCGCCGAGTCCATGAAGGGACTCGACGAGTAGGAGCTGGCAGAGGAAACCCTAAATCCCGGGGTTTTGCACCCTATTTAAGGAAACATAAGCCTCCTTTGGCCTCTTTGCAGTCCTTTGAGAGCCCAGAAAACCCTAATTCGTGTGGTGTTTCATTCTTGTGTGTGTAAAGCTTTGGAGAGGAGATCTTTTGAGAAGAAGAGCTTGGGGAACAAAAGGCTAGGAGCAAGCAAGTGTGGGAAATCAGAAATCTACCTCAGATAGCATCATTTGGAGGTATCAAGTCGTCACCTTTTCTCCTTTTTCTTTCTAGACCTCTTTTGGTTGAGATCTAGGGTTTTTATGGGTTGGTTGAGATGGTAATGTGGGATATGAGCTAGATCTGAAGTTGTAACTTCAGATCTGGACCCTTCCTAAGTCCTAGAGTCATAAAGTTTCTGTTTTGGGCGTGAATGAAACCTCTTTGAACATGAAACCCCCCATTGTGAGCTTGGATTTGACATTAAGAGCCTTTGTAGCTATGCATGCACGTAAAGTTTGCAACTTTACGTGAAAAGCATGCCTTAGAAGCTTGGATCTGTAGTTTGGAGCTGCTGCATGGATCAAATGAGTCTGTATGGCAAAAAGGACTGAAGGGACTCGGCGAGTCGCATGGTCGACTCGGCGAGTCATATGAAGATAGGCATTAACTCGGCGAGTTGGAAGAACAACTCGGCGAGTCCAATGAAGATTGCCGTAGACTCGACGAGTGGATGAACAACTCGGCGAGTCGGATGAGGTTGCCCCAACTTATGTATGCGCGGGTAAATGTCGAGTTGCAAGAAGGAAGATCGACGAGTGGCCTTAAGGCCTCGATCGTAAACCAAAGGAACTCGACGAGTCACTCAGGTGACTCGGCGAGTGGGTTAGTACTTCAAGGAACTCGGCGAGTAGCCGGGGGTACTCGGCGAGTCAAGGTCAACATGGATTGTTGACCTTGACTGATGAATTTGACTTTGACCAAGGTTTGGTTAGTTGGCTTAAGGGGTACCTTGAAGGGTTGGGAACTTATGGGTATGGTTATTCTATGGTAATAGGTGGTGGAGTTTGTGGCAGTGATCCGAGGGTTGAAGCTTATCTACCGAGACGACATCTGCAAGGTGAGTTATCCTCACTATATCGATAG